ATTTCACCACTTGAGTGGAATTAAGAAAAGAATCATCTCAATGGATACATAAAAGGCCTTTGAAAAATGTTTGACATCTCTAGCAATCAGGGAAATGCAAATCAAAACTAATTAAGATTTCATCTTACTGTAGTCAGAATGGTAATTAATCAAGAACACAAATAATAATAAATGCTGGTAAGCAAGTGGGGTAAAAGGTACACTGATACATTGTTGGTGGAACTGCAAATTAGTATAACCACTCTGGAAAGCAGTGTAGAAATTCCTCAAAAAACTAAGAATGAAACCAACGTATGACCCAGCTATCCATTCCTTGGTATTTATAAAAAAAAAAAACAACCCTAAAATCAGCATGCTATAGCAATACAAGCCACTTCAATACTGATAGCAGCAAAATTCACAATAGTCAAATTATGGAATCAGCCCAGATGGTTGTCAATAGATAAATGAATCAAGAAAATGTGGTATATATGCACAATGGAGTTTTACTCAGCCATAAAGAAGAATAAAATAATGGCATTTGCCAGTAAGTGGATGGATATGGAGAATGCCATGAATTTCACTTATGAAATAAGCCAGACTCAGAAAACTAAGGGTCAAATATTTTTTTCTCATATGTGGAAGCTAGAGCACAGTAAGGGAAAGAAGGTGGTGGTGGTGGGGATTGATATTATAAAAATACAGGGAAGATCAGTGGAGTAGAAGATGGAGGAAGGAAGGATGAAAAAGGAGAGAAAATATGGAATGAATTTTTAAAAATTATGTTATATATATACATATATAAATGTATGAAAGGGAATTTCACCTTTATGTGTATGTAGAAAGTACCAATTAAAAATAAATAAATAAATAAACAAGTAAATAAATAAAGGAGTGAAAATAAGCCAGTAACAGAGGAAGGGGAGTAGAATAAGGGAAAGGTGGGGGAATGGGGATTGAAATCAAATTTCTTGCATGTATGCTTTTGTCAAAATGAACCCAAGTACTATGTATAACAAAATGAGTATGAGAAATTGCCTAGACATAGAGAAGATGATTACCCCTTGTGTTATGGTTTGGAGAAATTATACTCCATTTATTTATGATGTATAAAAGTGTATTCTATTGTCACATTTAACTAATGAGAACAAAACAATATATATATGACTTGTCTCCCAAAAGCTCCTATGTTGGTGCAGGAATATTGAGAGGTGCAATGATTAGATTATGAGAACTGTAACTAATCGTCATTCTAGTTTGAATGGGCTAACTGGGTGATAACTGTCAGCAGGTGGGTTGTGAAGGAGGAGGTGGGTCATTGGGGGTGAATTTTAGAAGGGTTAATTTTTTTCTAACAAGTACTGTTAAAACTATTCTGGGTAACTTTCTTTATAATTAAAAAAGACACTTTAACTTTTTTATAAAAGAGGCAAGTGTTCATTGTTATTTTATGTTATAGGTGAATAAACTGAGGTCCAAGGAGATTAAATACATTGCCCAAGACTACAGAGGTAAGTGATGCCAAGGTCTCAACATGAATACTCAAATTCCAGAACTCACATTATCCCAGTTTTATTCTAAATTAATTAATTTGGGGAGAGAGGCTGTCTGGCATGACATTTTGTTAGATAAGTTGCACTTAATGGCTAAAACTTTGACCTAAGTCCAGATTTAATAAGAAGATTGTACTTCAAAAGCTAAAAGTTTGAAAATTTAATGAAGATAAGTGGTCCTTTTTAGCAAAATTAAATAGTGATGTATTCATCTCTGGCCCTCTGCTTGTGCGAGCCCTCTCAGAGCAGGAAGCTTTTGGTTTAGTGCTGGCTGCGACTGCCATGTGCCTGCATTATAATCTTATTGAGGTATCTGCAGGACATCTACCTCAGACCCTGATGTTTTAAGGAGGCTCTGAAAGGAAGTGACCCCAGTAGTAACTGGTATAGGGAGGAGGGATAAAAAGTGAATGCACCTGCAAGTTCAAGTTCAAATGCATCTGCAAGTTCTAAAGAAATCCCAAGATTATGTAATTAGGTTAAAAAATAAATAAATAATCATGATAAATATATATATATATATATTATATATAACATATAAATATATATTTTATTTTGTTATATATATATATTATTTTGACTGCTGGCTTTAGGAGAGAATGGTCTTTGTTTAGAAGTATGACCTGGTTGGCTCTGTAGGGGGCTAGGAAGAATGATCTGGAAGAAGGCCTCTGGGTTAGGAGTTCAGGCCCTTTGGTTTGACTCTCAAAGGATGGTGACCCCAGGTGACATTCAGGTTGCACACTTGATTCTTAAGTCACCCATTCCCGTACCCAGGACCAAAGCAGAACACA